CAGAATGCCACACATTTCCTACAACACAATAAGAAAAGCACAACATGTTGTAGAAATAAAATGTTCCGATGCCACTTTCCCTCTGAAGAGCACTCTCAGCTTCTTTTTGAAAACACTCAAACAGGCAGGCCCAGTGGGCGGGGAGCTGGGATTGCTCTGTTTTACAGATGAGAAAACTGTCCTTTGCTCAAAACTCACCAGCAGCTTCCTGCTTCTAGGCGTGACGCCAAAGCCCATTGGTCACCTCTGTGCCCTGGTCCTGCCCTCTCTGATGCCATATCCTCCCACCACTCCCTTGCTGCTCAGGCTAAGTGGGCTTCTCACCGTGCCCCCCACTCTCCAAGAGCGTTCCCACCTCCGGGCCTTTCCAGCTCCTCTCTCTTCTTCCTGGAACCGGCCATCTCCACGTCTCTCCTCCGTAGGTCTCCACTCAAGGGTCTGCCCCAGCGAGGCCTTCCCTGGCCATTTGGTAAAAGAGCTTGCGCATCTGTCTTTGTCCTCCCACCTGCTGCACTTGTCTTACTGGCATTATTGCCACCTGACATGTCATGTACCCATGTGTTTATTGACTCTCTTTTTTTTGTCACCTTCCAGCAGCAAATAAACTCCACAAGCACTTCGCTGATGTGACTTTGGCCCTAGAATGGGGCCTGGCTCCCAGAAGGCCTCCAGTGTTTATCTGTTAAATGATGCCAGTGAGGGCAAGAGGCGGGGAAAGTGGGTTGTTGAGCCAGACCTAGCATCACATACGAGTTTCTTCTGCAACCCTCTTGCATGTCGGAATGCTGGCTGCAGATACATTCTGGACAGGGTGGGTCTCCTCAGGCCAGGATGGCTTTGCAGCATCTGCTGTGCCCTGATGCCAAATCAGCCCCAGCCCCCAGGGACTCAGGCCCAGCCTGATGGAAGAATGTTCTGCAGGGACATTCAGCTCTGTCGTGACTTCCTACGAGGGATCTGAGCCCTGGTGAGGGTGCCCGTGAGGGAGACAGATGGAGCAGAAAGCCTACAGTGCCTGGGTCTGGGTCAGGGCCAGAACTGTCACATCCAGTAAGGCAAGAGCTACAACTGTGGACTTTCTGGAATCTGAAGATTAAACCAGCTTGCACCACTCACCTGAGGAGACAGCTGCATGCTGGTCAGAATCCTCCCTGCGTGGTCACTCATTTGCTGATTCATCCCACGTAAGTCAACAGGTATTGATTGAGCGCCTACCCTGCACCAGCCAGAAACTGGGGATGCAGTTGTGAGCAAGGCAGGCCCTACCCTCCTGGCACATGCAGTCTGGAACATGTGCAAAGCCCTGAGGCAGCATCCACGGCAAGAAGGCAGCAAAGCACTCGTCCATTTTCCCATGACAACCTGCGGTCCTTCCGTTAGCAAGGCGACCTCTTCAACCCTTCCCTTCCTCCGCCCCCATGTCCGCCAAGTTCTGGGACCAAAGCCAGATTCTCCCATGCTGCACCTGGGCAGAGCCCACAAAATCCAGAGGCTGCTGTGCTCCCCGCATTCTAAATGCAATGTTGCTACCACAGCTCTGGAACCGCATAAGGGACCAGTATTTCTGAGCTCTATGGCTGTGGGTAAGTCACTTAAACTATCTGTATGTTTCCTCCTCTGTAATGGGACCTTAGCAGTACTTAACTTGAAGGGCTGGTCAGAGGATCACATGACATGAGGCCTTTAAGCCACCGGCAAACTATGCTCAACAACTGAGAGATTCTGAACGTTGCTATTGGACCTTCAGGCAAGTCTGGGAGAGGCCAGGCTGGCCAGAGGATGAGGAGTCCTTTCTGAGGAATTGAGTTTTATGCCCCTTGTTGTAGGTGAGGAACTGAGGCACAGAGAAGGGCAGGGCCCTGCCCGGGATCACACAGCATGTCAGAGGACTCTCACTTGGACCCTGCTGCTTGGCCGTGCACATCCCTACAGCCCTCTCCTGACCTCCACCCTCCAGAGTACTAGCACCCAGAGAGGGGCAGCAGTCGGTCAAGATTTCTGACGAATCTCCCCCCAAAAGCCCCAGAGACTTACGATGCTCCCCAGTTGCTCTCAGAGGCCAGGCAGGACACCCTGGTGCACAGCGCCCCCTGGTGTCTGTTTCCCTGCAGGTCGTGGTTTCTGGGCGAGGTGGGGCTGTGCACTTCAGTAGCTGTGGGTATCTGGTCACCGCCCTCAAGCACGTCACTTTGCAAGAGGTTGGTATTTTTTTTTTTATCATCTTTCTCATATATCCAACTGCAAGGGAAGAAAAATGAAAGAGAAGTGAAAGCATAAAAGTAAAAAGGAAAGAACATAAAAATAGATTCTAGCTCACAGACATATGTTATGGGACCAAAAAAAAAAAAAAAATAGGAAAGAAAGAAAATGGAGGGGGAAAGACAAAAATAATCAAGAAAGAGAGAGGAATAAAGAAAAATGAAAAAAACCAGGAAATATGCACGCCAAGTCAGGCCTAGCCCAGCCTAGAAGGGCAGGTGCCAGGGCCCATCATCAAGACAATCCCAGCCCCTGCCTCCAGGCTGTCTTTGTCCCAGATGTGGGCATCTGGGAGCCAGTGCATGGGTAGGCGGGACCTGGCAGGACCAGGGGCCAGGGAACTTCACCTCTGAGCACTACACAATCTCTGGCGCCACCTGCTGGGTGGACAAGGCACCACATGTATCCCCTGGAAGCTGAACTGTGGGCCCCAGAGACTGTTGGTCCCCAGCAACGCAGACAGGTGGGTGCAATCATCTCCATTTCTCAGAAAAGGAAACTGAGGCTACTAGAGAGACGGGACTTGCCAAGGGATGGCCACTCAGCAACTACAGAATCCTGGCAGTTCCAGGGCAGGCGAGTGTCTGATTTCAAAGTCTTAGGCTCTCACTTCCCTGAACAATCCAGCCCGGGCACAGAGTAATGTGGTTAGAGGTGCAAGCTCTGGCTACTGGACAGCGGAAGAAACTGAGGGTCAGATAGATTCAGACACCGGGGCCCAACTGTGGTCCTGGGAGAGCAGAGAACCGAGGTCCGACCGAGAGACGCATCAACTTCAGGGTTTTGCCCACCTCTTGATACTCCGTTGGCCAGCACAGCAACCTGGCCACAACGTTCTCCCTCAGCTGACACCATCATGGGGACTCTAGAGCTGATGTCCTGGTCAGTCCAAAGGCCAGCTCTGGCCACACTTGCCTGGGCAGGGCCACCCAGAGTCAGGCAGGTCAGTACAGGAGCATGCAGGTTGGTGAGGCTGCGGGGCACTGGAGAGCTGGCACCTTGCCCAGAGGCCCTGGCCACCTCTCAGCTCCAGTTGACAAGTGCCAGGTGGGAATACGGGCCAGTGCAACCAGAGCTCCTGAATTTTCAAGAAAAAACAAAAATCAGAACTTGGAAGTGAAATCTGCTGGTTCTTAAATGTGACTATCTGATTCCAAATGATAAAGACACCATATCAGGAAAATAAAACACAGACATCCATGTCCACATCTCAGCCGGTGGCCCGCCAGTTTGAGACCTCTTGTCTCCTGGAAAATGCCCTCCCAGCTCATGCTCCATGTTGTCACTGTGACAAAGGCCCTCTGGAGAGAAAGGCTTTACCCCCACTTTGCAGAGGCAGCCCTGTGTCTGGAAGAGATGTGACTTGTTCAAGGCCACAGAGACCCCACTTCTCAGCTCCACACCAAAGCTGCCCGTCCATCACTGTAGCAGAACGCACTTCCGCCTTACAGGAGCCCATACAGCACAGGCAGAAGTTTCTGCTTCCTGTGTAAGTGTCTACCCGAGGAAGGCATCACATACCTATGGAGGTGACAGCCCTTCCATTAGAGTGATGTTTCTGGATCCAAAACTGACCCCAGATAATCCCAAATAATCGGCCTGTCACTGTCCTGAAGTCCCACCAGGACTCACCCTCGCCAATTCAGCACTGAGTGTTAGAAACCTGCCCTTTGAAAGACACAGGCTCGCACTCTCCCTGGAAGAGACCACTCTGGGCCTCGAGAGGATGCACGCTGGGGAAGGTTAGTTTGGAAAGAAAAGAGATGAAAAGAGAACGGGCTCCAGTCTGAAATGGCAGGACTAGTGTGGGCATCATGGCTTAGAAGGGAACCAAGTGTGGCCATAACCGTGTGGGTGCCTTTAAGAGGAGGGGGTCTTTCAGAGATGTCAGTGCTTCCCAACGTGTGGCAAAGGAGGGAGAGAAGAGAGGGAAGAGGTAACAGGAAGGAAGGTGGGAAGGTGGTGGAAAGGGAGGGAGAGGGAGACAGGCATAGGGCAGCCTCGCCAGTCTGCAGGTCAGATCCCACCAGGGAATGAGATTACCCCGCTGGGCAGACGGGCCCAGGGAGCTTCTAAAAGGTGGCCGGGCCCTGGCAGGTGAGAACCAGCTCACAGCCTGGGACCTAGACAATAGGCTCAGGTGTGCACAGTGTCTGCTCCAGCGTGTGTTCTGATTGGTCTGCTTGCAGCTAATGTGGATTCTGATTGGCTGGGCACAAGTCTGACCACGTGTTGAGTATTTGGACCACCATTCCAGCCCCAATCCCAGACCCCAGATCCAAATGGGCCTCAGGTTGGGGCAGAGGATGGCTCAGTGACTTCCCTTGGACCTACCCTGACCCCTGGGCACATGTAAGACCAGGAATTCTTGCATGACACCCAGGAGGAGGTGGGGGACACCTGGGAAAATAGACACATTCTTCCACCATCTCCGTGAAATGGGAGGTCAGAACCCAAAATAAAGGTGAAAAACAATAGAAAGCCCGTTACGGCACACCTGGGGCGCAGACCTGCAGTGAAATCTCGGCCGTCCTCACCACTCCTCTGCAGGGGAAAATACACACTGTCCTCGATTTACAGGAGGAAACGGAGGCTCACAGATGTAATGTCACTGCTAGGGGTCACGGGCTCACTGACCCCTCCGTGTGGGTCTTGGAGGCCTGGGCTCATTCCAACGTGAGGCTGGCCACACCACCCCCATGCCACCAGGGTCGGCCCCCAAGGAACCACAGATCAAGATCTTTGTATTATAAATTGACTTTTAATAATAATAAAAAATCTATCATGAATTTAATGGAGAATCTGTACATTTTAAAGTAAACCAGTGCACGAGGCCTTGCCCTCCAGGGCCCCTCTCCGTTTCCCGCCAGGCAGGTCAGGTCCTCGTTTGCATCGCGTCACCAGTGCCCAGCAACAAGCCTGCCTCTGCAGTCTAATGCTCAGGAAGGCGGCCCCCGGGGCTCAAGGGTCCAACATTCTGGGGGGGCTTCGGGAAACCCACACTGCTCTCACCACCAGCCCAGGGCAGAACGATGCCCCTCTCTTCTGCCTCGGCTGTGACATTTCCCTGCTACTGTACAGGAGCTCGAGGGGATGAACTGCGGAGAGGGTGCCTGGGGGGACTTGGCACCCAGAAGGCAGATAGGTTGTCTTCCTGTCTCCCTCCCTGGCTGGCTGAGAAGTCCCAAATGCCCTGCCGTGAGCGAGCATCAACAAAATAAGTTACAGAAGCCACCACCCAGGGTTTCCTGTGACCCCCTTACCTGCAAAACACACCTACATGGGGGACAGTATCTCAGGGGGGTGGTTCAGTCCCCTCCAGTCCCTAGACCTGGCCCAGCCGCCTCTCGAACCCTTATAGCCAGTCATTCAAAGAGAGCAAAGTAATTCATTCTAATACTGACCAGCTAATAGGCACCTGTAAGCAATACCTTATGACCCTAATATTTAAAAAGATGAAATACTGACATGTTTTTGAATTTTCAATAATTTAGTTTTTCTTTTTCTTTTTAGTACTGGGGAAAGCTGTCAAGACTACCTTATGATGGTCCCGTTAGACAATACACCTTTCTTTAAAATTTAAAATACATAATCACACAACATGGGGAGGTGGGGGAGCGGCGTCTCAGAGTAAACCACAGAGATTTCACGCCACATAAATAAAGTCAGGGCAGATCTCGTGCCCAGGGCTGACGGCTCAAGTCCCAATGGCGGTGCTGTCGGAAGCTGGTGCGGCTTCCAAGTGTCTTCTTGGTGACAGATGTTGCGCCCTGTCCCTCTGTCTTCCTGGCAGAGGCCCGCTTTTCCGAGTCCACTGAGCAGTTAGTACAGGGGGAGTCTGGAAGCTAAGGTGAGGCGGTGGAGACACGTGTCACCTGGAATGTGGACTTAGAAGGAAACCAGGGTTTCAAAGTGCAGGTTGAGCCAGCCCGAGGGAGCCAAGTCCGTGGGCCGCCAACTGCGGTGCCATGACCTCTCCCGTGTCCCCGGGGCCCTGGCTGCACCCATCAGCGCTGTGGGTCCCCAGCACCCCGTGGGTTTCTGGCGGAAGTGTGGAAACATGCGGGCCCAGGCCTATCAGCTTGCCCGTCCGAGTGGGGGCACGGCCTGTCCTTGCAGGAGGTGATGGAGAAGGCTGGGCAGGTCGTGGAGTGAGGCCTCGGACGGGCTCTGGAGCAGGCCAGCACGACCCGCTGTGTCCTCCCAGATCCCAGCTCCAGACAACGCAGTCAAGCACCAAGCGTCTCCGCGTTCAGAGGTCTCCGTCCACCGGCGGCTGGCAGAGGCGGTAGAGCCTGGCGATGGAGGCGAAGAGGATGAGGAGGGGCCGGGGCGGGCTGGGGCCTATTATTAATATGACTTCAATCTTTACTTGAACAGGCAGTCCATGCCCAGAGAACAAAACTCAGTAGATGTTTTTCAAAAACGCAGAGTGAAAAGTATTTATGCTGCCCCCACTTTCCCCCGGGCCTCCTCCCCTCCACAGGCAGTCTCCGCTCCCTCCAGCCGCCCAAGCGCTTTACACACAGAGCCGGCCTGCGTGTGGCGGGGGGGGGGGTGTTTACATGTGTGGGTGTGTACGTTTCTTCACACTAATGGTGGCAAACTGGTCACAGTGGTCTAGCCCTTGAGCTTTTTCACTTAATAAATTATAAGCTTGGGGGCCTCTCCCTGCAGGACACAGAAAGCTGCCTTGGTTTTCTGCATCGGAAGGATACTGAGTTCTCTGTCAAGTAAGGAGCCACTAATGGCTTCCAAGCAAAAGAGGCAGATGTGCCGTGGGGAGAAGGGCTGCGGTGACGCGGACAAGACAGAGAAGCGAAGCGGCACAGTGGTTAGGAGGTTGGCCCCGGGCCCGGCCTGCCGGGTTCAGAACTCCAGCTCTGCCATTCATTAGCTGTGTGACCGCAGGCAAGGCCCTTAACCTCCCTGTGCCCCCGCGGCCCCCGCTGCCAACTGGGCACAAGAAGAGCATCTTGTTCACAGAAGGAACGGTGCCCGGAGTGGGGTAAGTTAACAGATAAAAGTACTTAAAGGAAGTGAGGGTGAAAACCGTAAGGTCTGCGTGGGAGCTGCCCGATCACCAGCCGTTTCCTGGCTTTGTCGATGTCCTGTGGTTACGTGAGAGCTGGGCGAAGGGCACCCTCTGTGCTGCTTTTGTAACTTCCAGTGAGTCAAACTATTTCAAAACGGAGTGATTTAAAAATTGTGAGCAGGCCCTGACCCAGGGGTGGGCAAACTTTTTGACTCGAGGGCCACAATGGGTTCTTAAACTGGACCGGAGGGCCGGAACAAAAGCATGGATGGAGTGTTTGTGTGAACGAATATAAATTCAAAGTAAACATCATTACATAAAAGGGTATGGTCTTTTTTTTTTTTTTTTTTAGTTTTATTCATTTCAAACGGGCCGGATCCGGCCTGGATTGTGGGCTCGGTCCCCAGTAGGAGGCGTGCGGGAGGCAGCTGATCATTGATGTTTCTATCTCTCTCTCCCTCTCCCTTCCTCTCTGAAGTCAGTATTTTTTTTAAAAAAAAATTGTGAGCAGTATTGATAGCAAACTGGGGCAGTGGGCTGGAGAGAGAAGATGGACTAATATGAGGCACTACTGGGAGAGGGGGCAGCACAGGGTACCATGAGCCTGGCTGAAATCAACGTGGAGAGATGATGGGGTCCTGAGGACAGGAAGCAGCCGATGGCCAGGGGACCTGAGGGTAGCGAGGCGGCAGAGCAAGAGCGGGAAGAGGAGGGAAACCCCAACAAGTCCATGCCCATGGCTCATTTGAGGGGCTCTGTGTCATCTTCCCAGACACAGTAGGTGCTCCCCTGGGGAGTAAAAAACTGAGCATGCTTGTCACTTCCCAAAGTGGGGTCCCCATAAGTGAGAGGTGAAGCCCCATATGACTACCCAGGGGTCTGCCTGGGGTGAGGCCAGGACTTTGATGCCAACCCAGGTCCTGGTCTTCCCTGCGGAGAGGAGAGGGGGGAGGGGGGACAGCCACTCACCGAGGTGCGCCCTGGGGCATCTGATCCTTGACCCGCAGGTTTTTGGCCAGAATCTCCACCCTGGGGCCCTGGGAAGAAAGAACCATGAGGCTGGGACCTGCCTCCGCACGGGAATTCACGTTCAGGACCATTTGAGCAAGCACATGTGTGGGTGCGGTGCGGAAAGGTAGGTAACAGGCCCAGAAGCAGAAGTCCTGCTGGGGAGAAGGGCCACAGGTGAGGCTGATGACTGCCCAGCCCCAGATGGCCCCCTCCTGCTGCTCTCAGCCCAAGGTGCCCAGGCCAGGACGCCCTGTAGCCTGGCAGGACCGCCTCACCTGCTTCCGCATGATGTCCGTGGCCTGCATGATGCACTTGGGTAGCAGCCCGTGGCTCCGAGCCAGGATGGCCGCCTGCTCCAGGGAGACACTCAGGGTGCTCCTGCAGGGAGGGGCAAGGGGGACGGCCGGTGAGACGGGCACTTCCTGCCCACCACGTGAGGCCTCTGCGACCGCACACGCAGGAACGGCCACCATCCAACCATCACCCATCACAGCACGGCAGGCCTTTGGTCTCATGTCCTCCTCTCCCCAGGAGAGCCCTTGTCTCCGGGCTGAGAACTGCCCCCGCCCCCAGATAATTGCTGGACTCACTCCCTGCCCCAGGGGTCTCCTCTCCAAGAGGACCCCCCTCCAGCACACCACGCAAAGCCAGCATCTGACTGCTTCACTGCACCCTCTGACGCATCAGTGTCACGCAGTGACCCCTCTGCCTTTGCTCTCTGACCCTCCCCGCGCCCAGCCCCCAGCTCACCTCTGCATGCCCGTGCCGCACATGGCGATCTGGCAAGCCCCCAGGCGGTAGCAGAGCTCGGAGGAGACGGGGATGAGGCTAGCACCCAAGCTCCCAGCGGCACCAGGTTTGGGGTGGACGAAGGACTTCATGAGACGACAGAGCTCATCCAGAGCATTGATGGGACGAATCAGCTGTGAGGTGCACACACACATCCCGATAGTCCGAGGAGGCCCCCGCCCAGCCTTCCACCCCATCTACTCCCTCCAGTCCAGCTCAGTTACTGCAGCGTCCTCCCGGCTCCCCTCACCGGGGATTACAGCCCCATTAACCTTCCCCGGACCCTGCTCAAGGACCATCTGTGGCTCCCCACTGCCCCACAGGCTGGCATGTAGTGCTCAGGATGTATTTCAGGCCCAACCGTCAAATCTCATTCTCCTCACCTGCCCAGGTGTGCCCCCAACTAAGCCTGAATGAAGTGCCCCCTCCAAACTGCCTCAACCAGCCCCAGCCGCCCTCCCCAGGAAGAGCCTTCCTCCCGCCCCAGGTCCTCCACTGCACGTGGAGGCAGAAAAGGGTGGTCTGCCAGTTCTGTCATCTTAATATCCTGCCAGCGAAACTACGGACCCCCAAAGGGCCATGGCCACCGCTTCTCTTGGGACCCTCAGCCTCACAATCCTGAGGCCAGTACCCCCTAAACCACTGTCAAACCTGAGGCCTGCCTGAGGCTAGGAAGTGGGTGACAGGCCCGGAGCGCAGGCCCGCGAAAAGCCCTCGAGCCCCGCACACACAACACAGCAGGTGACGCACCTGGTCTATCTTCACCGCCGTGGTGCTGGCATCTGTGGGCAGGTTAGACCGCTCCAGGTAAAACGCCCTGAGAGAGAAGATATGGGCTTATGGGGGGTGTCCATGCCCCCATCCAGGCAGCCCCCACTCTCTGCCGCTGCGGCCCATCTGCCCGCCCACAACGCTCAGAAAGAAACGACTGAGAGCTTGCACAGTTCTCCACGCTCCATCCCTGCCACAGCCCGAGGGGGGAAGCAAAAGGGGCCTGCCAGGCACCCCTCAAATGCCACCTCTCCCTGATGGCCCATCCTGGTCAGCTGGTCAGCACCTGACACCCCCTCCCCCCTCTCTCTAACCCCTGTCCTGCGTCTCTGTCCTCTGAATACTCTCACCACTTCACACGCTGTCGCTTCGCTCCCTGGCGTATTGCCACCACCCCCTCTGGAGCAGGACTCATAACTTTTTCTGGGACGGGCCACGCAGTCAGTATTTGGGGCTGTGTGGACCAGTCTCTATCAAAACCCTACTGAGCCTGGCCACTGTAGCACAGAACAGCCAAAGACATCCACACGTAAATGAGCGTGACTGTGTGCTAATAAAACTTTATTGACAAAACAGGGGATGAGCCAGACAACTGCTGCTCCAGAATCTATGCTCCATGAAGAGGAGGCTTCGTGGGCCACTGCTGACTCCCGACAAGCACCCAGAACAGAGCCTGGCCCCCATGTGCTGAATGAAGGAAGGAATAAACGAAGGATCAGAGATGTAATATTTTCGATATTCAACAGCAGCATGGAGCAGACTGATGGCATCGATCAATCCGAAGAGATGCCAGTTTTAATAACAAAACTGGGTGTTTCCCCTGAAAGCATCAGCTTCCATTTCCAAAGAGGAAAGCCAAACCCCAAAACAGTACAGCGCTCACCCAGCCTGAAGCTTGGTCTACTGACCTCCAGCCTCCTTCCCCCAAGGGAGAAGGTGGGGAGGAGGAAGGGCTGGGGTGAGGGTGGGGGTAGGGAAGCTGCGTCCCTGGGTGTGAGGCTCCCTCCTGAGAATGTGGCCCTGCTCCCTCCACTTCTCTCAGGGGGTCTCCTCTGAGCTGGGCCAAGGCCCTGGGGGCCACACCCCTTACTCACAGGCTCAACAATCCCACCAGCTCCCACCCCACATGAAATGAGACAGGCAGCTCCTCTTGGCTGCAAGGACCCAAGCAGACCCAGTTCCAAGCTCAGTTCAGCCACCATCCAGCTCTGTGGCCTTGGGCAAGCTGAGCACCCACTCTGGGCTTCCGTTTCCTCGTCTGTAAAGTGGTTTAGAATGGCCAACCGTGACTGTTGTGAGAACCTGATGAGCATGTGTAGGCAGAGGGTCTGGCACACAGTAGGTGCTCAGGAAAAGGCACTTTGCCCACTCCCATGCTGGGGGCCTGCCTGGTGCCCTCTATTCTAATACCCAGTTCCCGCAGCAGTGTCCAGATTCCTGTCCCCAGCATGTGCCCCGGGCAGATACCTGAGTTTGCGGTAATACTGACCTGGAGGAGGAGGCCCCTCTGGGTTCTCCAGGGCTGTGAAGGAAGAAGAGGGCGGGCAGGCGGCGGGGTCCCAGGGTGCTCTGAGCCTTGGGTGTCCCCTGTGGGCCCCCCTCAGCACCCCTCAGCTCACCTTTCGTGAAGAGCACGGTGTGCAGCCTCAGGCTACCCCCACTCTCCAGGCGGGAGGGCAGCTTGGAGAAGTGGTAGCTGTCGAGGTAGAAGATGACCTTGAGCGCCTGCCGGCTGCCCTCAATGTGGTAGAAGGGCAGCATCAGACCTTCCTTCAGACCTCACGTGGGATGTCCTGTTCTCCCCACCCCAGAAGGGCAGCCTTAGACCCCCGTGCCTCCTACCTTCAGGGTGGCATCCTGTGTCGCCCTGTCTGCCCTCAGACCTCCCTGCCCTCCCATCCTCCGGGGGTAGCTCAGACAGCCCAGTCCTCCCATGCTCAGAAGAGCAGCCTCTGACCTCCCTTTTCACCTCTTTCAACAGGTCCCAGTTCCCACTGCTCAATCCTTAGACCTGACACTGCTTTTGCCCAGCTGGGGGGGTGTCAATGTTTGTCTTCAGAGCCACACGAATGTTTCCTGTACTCCTCACCTGGTACCCCAGGCCTCTGCCTGCCAAATGCTGCCCTCAACCAGGACCTGCATTTATTTACACTCAGAGGGTACAGTTTATGGGAGTCATGGTATCAACACACTATACGGCACCCGTGGCAGACATCATTAATCAATCACTAACACCCCATCTGGCACCTATGGCAGACATAACTAATCAATCAATAGTTCTCCCTAAGCCCAACTTTGCCTATTTATAGAACTGACCATCAATTCCAACGGGCACCTGAAACAGAATCTATTGTCCCTCTAAATTTTCACACATTCTCAACAGGGTGAAATCACCCCTAAGGAGACGAAAATTGGTTCTGGAGGCAATGGCCCAAAAAGAAAGGACTCATTTATGTATAAAGCACAGGTACACATACAGTACCTAAACAGACAAAGAGTGTATCCGAGGTATTAGAATGTAATGGGGTTGCAGCAATAAGGAAAAAACGAAACCGACTCCTTATGGAGGTGATAATTTTTAAAAAGTTGAGAATCACTGATCTGGAGCAGTGGTTCCCAAACGAGTGTGCTTCAAGCCCGCCCAGTCCCTGTCAGCACAGGTCTGTGGGCTCCACTTTCAGAGTTTCCGGTGCAGGTCTGGGATGGGGCCTGAGGATTCGCCTTTCTAACCAGGTCCCAGTGGCTGCGGGTCCAGGGACCACACTCATAGAAAAGTGGCAATAGGCCCCCGCCCAGTGGTCCTCAATCCTGGCTGGACCTCACAGTCACCTGGAAAGCTTTTCTAGAACCCCAATGCCCAGGATCCACCCCACAGAGTGACTCCACCGGCCAGGGCTGAGGCTGGGGTGGGGATCGGTGTCTTTGAATACCAGCAGCTGGGGCTGAGACCTGCTGGGCGGGTCTGTGGGCTTCAGGAGGCAAGAACCACGGCCTTATTTCTCCATGGTGGCCTCAGAATTGAAAACTGTGCCTAACACATATTATGTGCTCATAATTAGGGATGTGTGGATGGGTGGAGAATGAGTGGATGAATGGGCTGGTAGGTGGGTGGAGGATGGAGAGGTGGGACGGTGGATGGGGATGGATAAGCAGAGGGATGAATGGGTGGATGAATGGTGGGCAGGTAGAGGGAGTGAGGAAGGGAGGGAGGGACTTAATTGCGCTATAAATTCTTAGAAAATATTAACAAGTCTTCACCCCAATAACGGATATCTCTAGAAATTTTAGTAAGAACTGGGTACTGGTTGTTGTTCCCTTTTAAGAGCTTTTGGAGACAATGGGGTTTATACAAAAATATACCCTCTTTTTCCATGTATGTTGAGAGCATGAGGTTTGAAAGTACTGGGTCCCAGGTCAGCCTTTGGCAGTTGGCCTGGGGGCAGGGTGGTCCCCAAAGCAGCTCCCCAACTCTCATGTTGGGAGCGGGAGGAATCACTCACTGGCCACATAGTTCTCGTCCAGCTGCTTGAAGGAGAAGGAGACGTTGTCCAGCTCCGACAGGGTCACCCAGAGGTCCTCCAGCATGGTCCGTTCCTCCTTCTGCAGGAGGGAGACAGGGAGGAGGAGTGTCAGATGCCACCCCTGCCCCAGGGTTCACTTCAAGATGCTGTGACTCAACACCAGCCGACACACCCGCTGTGGGCCAACCAGGCACCGGGCTCCGCTGGGCTCTCAGGGGCTGGATGTGAAATCGGGTTTCCTTGTCCTGAACCTCCCAAGGCTAGAACCCAGCTCTGCTCTAATGTACCGGGTGGCCCTCTTGCCCAGACCATCCAACAATCCAACTCAGCCATCTCAAACGTAGCACGCCCCCAAAAGTCCTTCTTTTCCTCCTCACCCCTCTGCCATGGGCCCCATCTCAGCACAGAGCCCTAAACTTTGACCACAAGGACTTCTTGATTTCTCTCTCCGCTCACGCTATACACTGCCCATCTCCAAGTCCTGATAGGCCAGTCATGGCGAACCTTTTGAGCTCGGCATGTTAGCATTTTGAAAAACCCTAACTTAACTCTGGTGCCGTGTTACATATAGAATTTTTTTGATATTTGCAACCATAGTAAGACAAAGACATATTTTTGATATTTATTTTATATATTTAAATGCCATTTAACAAAGAAAAACCAACCAAAAAATGAGTTCACGTGTCACCTCTGACATGTGTGTCATAGGGTCGCCATAACTGTGATAGGCTGACCTTCAAAACATACCCCAGATCCAACATCTCTCTCAACCCTCCTCACCACCCCCAACACAAGACTCCCATCTCCAGGAGGACACACCAGCCTTTTCACAGGTCCCCCTATGCCACCCATCCCCGGACATGGGGCAGCCTAGGGGTTACCAGACCTACAGGCAGACTCCTGGGGTTGCCCTGTGACTACTGCTCAAAGCCTCTGATCCCTCCCTCTGCTTCCAGAATAAAGTCCTAGGCCCTATAGATGTGGCCCTGCTGACATCATACCCTGATCCCCCTGGCCTGCTCCCCTCCAGCCACACTGGCCTCTGTTTGGGACCTTTGCACATGCTGTTCCCTCCGCCCAGCACACTCTTCCTCGGGCCATTTACCTAGCGGGCTGTCTTGGTACTCAGGTCTCAGCTCAAGCGTCACCTCCTCAGAGAGGACATCTCTGACCGAAACGTAATCACCCTCTAAGTCTTCCGTATAACTACCTCCTGTCCGTCTCTCCTCCCCTTCCTTCCTTCCTTCTTTCCTAACTGCTTCCCCCAACTAGAAAGTGAACTTCTGACACCCTGTGCCCAGCTCAGAGCCTGGCACGTGGTGGTGACTGGTGAGTTAACACACTGGGCTCTTATCTGAGGACAGAAGGTGAGGGCTGAGTGTTCCTGGGGCCTTTCCAGCCCTGGCGGCACTTTCCAGGAACCAGGTGAAAGCGATCTGTGTGCAAAATGGGGCCAGCAGAGGGCGCACCGAGGCCACGTTTCCCAACAGCCAGCAGTTGTGGTTTTCAGCCCTGCCTGGGAAAATGTCTAGGAAGCTGTAGAGCAGTGGTTATCAACCTGTGGGTCGCGACCCCTTTGGCGGTCGAACGACCCTTTCACAGGGGTCGCCTAAGACCATCCTGCATATCAGATATTTACATGACGATTCATAACAGTAGCAACATTACAGTTATGAAGTAGTAACAAAAATAATTTTATGGTTGGGTCACAACATGAGGAACTGTATTTAAAGGGCCAGAGGTTGAGAACCACTGCGTAGAGGTTGGGGAGCTCACAACTGGGAACATGGGGTGCAGGACCAAACAGTACAGAGAATTGCTGCAGGCTTCATTTCTGGGGGACGTCGGCTCTGGGCCCCAGCACCCTTAAATGATGAGTCCTGGGTTCTGCCTCCTGGGTGCCAGCAGAGAACTGGACCTGCTTCTGAGCCCTGAGTGACAGGACAGTGGGATCAGAGATAAAAAGGAGATGCAGAGAAAGCAGGGCAACCTAGGGGCAGGAGGGCCTAGAGTTAGACCCCCAGAGTTCAAACCTGGCTGCCTGGGCCTCAGCGTTCTCATCCCTAAAACGTGGGAAGTGAAAACCCTGCCTCGGAGCTAGTGCAGGGATTCACTGAGATGCTGTCTGCACCAAGGAATCTCACCTGGATTATTACAAAAGCCAGCTCACTGGCCGCCCGGCTGCTGCGCTTGCCCTCATGGCCTTCCCCACCAAGGAGCACGAGTGGTTCTTCCAGTGCCCAAGTCAGATCCCATCCCTCCTCTGCTCAAAACCTTCCCATGGCTCACACCCACTCAGAGGACCAGCCAAAGTCCTGCAAGTCCCCACAGTCTGACCCCAGTCAATTCTCAAGCCTCACCTCCTCCTACCCCAGCTTCTTCCGCTCCATCCATAGGGCCACCTTGCAATTTCTCAAACACTGCCTCAGGGCTTCTGCATCTGCTATTCTCTCTGCCTGAGACTTCTCCCAGGATCCTCATGGCTCACTCCCTCTCCTCTTTCAGTTCCTGGGCAGATGCCAACTTCTTAGTGAGGCCTCACTGGCTACCTTAGTGAAACTTTCAAATGCTGTTGCCCCATCTTTTCCTGTCCCCTTCCCTGCTTAATTTTTCTCTTTAGCTTTCATCACTATACATGAGGGTTTCTCAAGTGTGACACTATTGACATTTTGGGCCAGAAAATTCTCAGGGGAGTGAGGACCATCATGTGTGTTGTAAGATGTTCAACAGCATTCCTGGCCTCTACACACCAGGCACTAGTAGCACCTCCTCTCCCCTCCTTGTGACAACCTAAAATGTCTCCAGACATTGCCAAGTGTCCCCTGGGAGGTAAACCTACCCTGCTTGAGAACCGCTGGTCTACATCACTTATTTTACTTATTTATGTCTACTTCCCCCGACTAGGACTTAAGATCCCTAAGTACAACTCTGTGCTTGGCCCATAGCTGATCCCCAGTGCCCATCACAGCAGCATATAGTAGGTGCTCAATAAACAGCTGCTGAATGAACCAGTAGGTGAGTGAGCGAGAACCGGAGTGAGTAAGCAGGAGGTCTCCTGCCCAGGCTCCCAGGGTACTCATCCCTCTTCCCCTCACTCACCACAGTGGCTGGCGACAGCAGGGACTGGCAGTGCAGGAGGACGCCGGTGGCCGCCACCTGCTCCAACCACTTGCGGCTGGCATCCCGGCTGCTCTCCTCGTACTCGCCGTTGTTGTTGTAGCGGTAGCTGAGCGCTGCCAGGAGCTGCTCAGAGAAGGTGCACACCGCGGCCACCAGGGCCTGGCAGAAGATGGTGTCCCTCCGCAGCTGCAACTCGGTGTCTGGAGAGCGGGGATGGGCTCGCTGGGCAGGTGCTCCTGCCCCAAGCCCCAAAGCCCAGGCCCAGAACCAACCACCAGCCCCAGCAGGCCAACCATCTGGGGCCAGCTGGCCAAAAATCAATCCAGCCACCAAAAGCCAACCCCACGACGATCAATTCTCCAAAAGCAAGCCAATTTACTGAAAATCGCAACTCTCTCATTGATCCATCTGCCTTGTGATTTTCCCTGAGGCTTTCCCAAAACCTTACTCGGTTGTTTCTCCATTGGTTAGGGGATTGCTCGACCTTGACTGGCAGGACAGCCATGATGCTAAGCATGTCTGCCCAGCTCCATGCTTTAAGAAATGCCGTTTACCATTTTCTCTATTTTTGAGAAGCCTCTTCCTGCCTCCCCTTCCTTGCCCCTGTCCTGACGTGGTTTGCAGAACTGGCTAATTTCAGGCAATCATTCATCCAGGGCCCGATCCTCTGGAAGGAATTATTTCCAATGACTGGCTCTAGTCAACTGATTTTCAGAGACCAATTTTGACCTAGATCTTATTTTAGCCGCCACTTGGCGGAGAATTTCTGGAAAGAAGGGAGGGACAGAATACACCTCCCAGCTTCCCCGAGCCCACCATCTGCCCTTCCCTCCTCCCCATTGTCTGCCCGTTAGAAGTCCCACGCGGGGCTGAGGACTCGACTGGACATCAGTCCTCTGTCTCCTGTCCTCGGGCCTGGGAGGTGCCAAGACACAGGGGGCCAGGGCCCTGTGACTTGGCCCTGGACTCAAGAGGAGGAAGTACACGAGGTCTAAGGAGTTCTGGGTGCAAGAGCCACAGAGTCACTCCCTCCCCCGGGTCCAGGCCCTGATGACCACGAGGACATCAACCTCGGCCGGCAGGAGAGGCCTCGCTGGGCTGCCGTCATGAGCACCACTGCCAGCCAGGATGCCCTCCCCTGGATACGCCTCTGTGCCCGTCACAGAGCTGCTGCTTCAAGCCCTCACCTGTGCATTTCAGCAAGGCCAGGAGCAGCTGGTTCTTCCCATCTGGAAGGGGAAGCAGAGGAAAAGAATGAGCACAGAGGTCAGCACAGATTCGAGCAGAGCTGGGCCCTCCCAGAAGGCCAAGGCCCAAGCCCCAAGCCCTGCACAGGGACGCTCTGGATATGAACAGTTGCGCTAAGAAGCTCTGATTGAATAGTGAGTGAATTCCAGAAACCCTCAATTTCCAGGGGATGGAACCCCAACTGCTGGCTGTACCCCAACTGTTTACATATACCCACCAAACAGAGGCTGAAACCAGCCCCTCCAACTCCCGTGCCAGAGCCCCCCGTCCACACCTTGCACATGCACATGGACACACGCTTATATGCTTACACGTTCATGCAAGCACACAGGCACGTATGCACATTCTACACAGCCACAGCCCTGCACCCGCATAGACAGAGCTCAGACCTTCTGAACACAGACCTAACATCCTGGTCTCTTTCCTTCAAAAAAAAAGCTCTTAGGCCCAGAAGGAGGTTAAAAGAAAAATCTGAAAGGTCAACTCAGGCGCTGTTCCTGGGGGATGGCTCTGAAGCTTCGCCCCTCCACTGTCCTGGTCAAATGTCTCCTGGTCTAGGGTCCTTCTAAGCCCGGATCCCAGACTCAAATGCTGCCAAGGGTCAGGCAGGCAACTGTGTGAGGGACACCAGGAAGCAGGCCGTGATGAGGACTGTGGTGAACTGGAAGTCACCCCTCTCCCATCTAAGACGGCAGCTGCCTCTCATCACCCAAGTGTGACTGTGGGCCTGCAGGCCTGTTAGTGCCAGATCCCCTGACTGTTCAGGAGTAGCCAGAAATCTAGATTTTTATGTGACATCTCAGATAATGAAGCACGGGCAACCGATTCACTTTTTTTTATGCTATATCATCAAAGCTCATCGGTGGGCCAAGTCTGATCAGGGGACTCCTAGCTTGTGGCCTTGATAATAAATAAAAGGAACTGAATTAAATCTACAATTTCTGAAAAAGAAGGGGTAAGTTCAGCCTTCTCAGCCTCCTGACTCTGCAAGGAAGCCCCCGGCACCCCAAGTCAGATGTTTCTTAATCATGTGCCTGTACACGGTTCCAGGGCTCTGCCCAGGGCAGGACACTCACCTGAGGAAGAGGCACGACTCCTCCTCATCCCCCCAGACATGGAGATGGACCCACTCCTGACCCTTCCACATTCCACACTAAGAATCAACAGCCACAAACGGCCACGTTACCCTCCCCTGCCCAACTGACCTTCCACGTATTTCTGAATGTTGTCCACTAGGGTCTTGATGGAGTTGGGGAGGTTCCAGGGGTCCTCCTGGATGCTGATCTGGATCAAGCTCCGGCCACGAATTGTACACTCTTCTTTCTGTTTGAACTCTGGGGCAGGAAAGTGATATGAGGGCAGGAAAGGGGCAGAGTCGCTTTGGAGAACAGTGGCACAAAGGCCTATGTCCTATCACCAGATTCCAAGGCTCAGAATCCAAGAGCAAGGATGCTGGCAGGACTCAGGTACTAGCTGGTCCACGGAGGGCAAATACATGGCAAGTGTGCTACTGGTTCATAGTACCACGCCCATGGCAGACATCACTCATCAATCTTAGCACACTGTCCTGCTAGTTGAGGTGTAACTCCTCACCACTGATACCAATCCAGTGCAGACATCACAAATCAATCACTGCATTCTCTTCTCAGGTACTACCTCCACATAGCCACACCGATCAAGCTGGCACATGACTAAGGAACCTTTAACCTTTTCCCTATACAGAGGAGGACGCCCAAACACAGAATGGGGAGGTGTCTTGCCTCAAGTCACAGAGCTGAGTTGTGACAGAGCTGAGACTTGAACCTGACCCTGGCAGACATAGGCCCCTGTTTCTTGGACCTCTTCCCTGCAACAATGCCCCGGATTTCTGAGATATTTATGGTTCTGGTTCCTCTGGGCTTGATGTTTCTGCTTTCTGATGTCCGATCCTGGAAGAGATGATCCTGAGACAGCAGGAGGGGTAGCTGAGCTAGGGCACCCCAACTCTCCACACTTCCTACCCTCATTTAGGAGCAACTGCCTGTTTCTTTTCCTACCTCCTGCACCCAACTGGGAGCTCCTAGAGGTCAGGGCAGTGTCACATTCATCTCAGGACCTCCAGTGCCCAGCACAAGGTGTGGCATAAACTGGTTCCTGGAAATTATTTACTGGATGGATAGCTTCATGGATGGATGTGTGGGGAGTGTATGCATGGATGGATGGATGGATGAGTGGATAGATAGATGGTAGATGGATGGGTGGATGGATGAATGAGTGGATGGATGGGTGGGTGGATGGATGGATGGATGAGTGGATAGATAGATGGAGGATGGATGGGTGGATAAGTGGATGGATGGATGGTGGATGGGTGGGTGGGTAGATGGATGGGTAGGTGGGTAGATGGGTAAATGGGAGGAAAGGTGGGTTGGAGGACATACATGTCAATTCTTTTTCTCTCAATCATGTCAAGAAGTCCCAATTTGGTGGGTGAGTCCTTAACACTTCTTTACTGATCCTTCTCATGAGGGAGGCGCAAAGCACTCTGGGCAGGCAGCAGACCCTGACTGCAGTATGACGACATTTTTCGTGGCTGTTTCCATTGAGTTTATCACAGTCACCGTTATTTCACGGCATGTTATACAGGTTTTCCATATATGGGGAGTTTAAAACATTCCTTCCAAAATTACATCTTTTAAAGGGAATCATTTTTTCGATGAAGTTATGTCAATAATAATGCAGGCAGCAAATGAATATGCTTTTAAAAAATATAAAGACGTAGGTAGATTCTGTGAATATGAGTTACATGATGGAGGCAAGCTGAAGGTCCCCAGGGTTAGTGAATTGTGCTCCAGTCCCTCCCTTCCTGTTACAGACAGGAAGACAGAGGCCCAGAGAGGCTCAGGGACCCACACAGGGGTTCACAGATTTTTTTCTGTAAAGAGCCAGGTAGTCCGGCCAGCGTGGCTCAGTGGTTAAGTGTCAACCTATGAACCAGGAGGTCATAGTTCAATTCCCATTCAGGGCACATGCCTAAGTTTCAGGCTCAATCCTGGAGGGGTGTGTGCAGGAAGCAGCTGATCAATGATTCTCTCTCATCGTTGATGTCTCTATCCCTCTCTTTCTCTTTTCTTTCCTCTCTGAAATCATTAAAAACATTTTTAAAAAGAGCCTGGTAGAAACTGTTTGAGACTTTGCAGGGCTTACGGTGTCTGCCATGTGTTCATTTATTCCATTTTGTTTTTATTCCTCTTTATAAGTGAAAATATCATTCTCGGGTCAGAGACTATACAGAACCAGGCTATGGGCTGGATTTGGCCTGTGGGCTGAACTTGCTGACCCTTGGACGAGCCCTTACCCATTGGGCAGGAGAGGGCAAGGCTGAGAGTGTGAGCCCGGGCCCTGCCCCCGTCGGCACCCGTTCCCCATCCTCGCCGTCTCCTTGTTAGATGCTGGATGTCATTCCCAGCCCTGCGGAGGGGTGTCCCTGTGCTCACCTTGCAGGCAGTGGTCCATAGGGAAATGCTTGGTCTCTTCAAAAGCCCTGCTCATGACTGGCCCCTTGAGGAGTGCGTGGATGGAGTCCACCTGGTGGCAGGAGGCTCGAGGTTAGTGTGGCTCCTGTGGCCTCCAGGTTGCAGTGACCCTTGAGTCCCAGCACCTGACCCAGGTTCTGGCTTATGGGTTCTCACCCCGGGTGACGGGAGAAACCCAAGGTCCGGCCAGGGTGGGAACAAAGGTCCTACCTGGTTAAAGAGATGTTCCAGGCAGCCATGAAGTTTGTCCTGCTTGTCTGATGGAATCCGCATGTCGCAGGGCAGCTCGTCCCCTGGCCAAAGGAAGAAGCCACAGCCATCAACAAACTATTTCCGACCCATCTCACACCCTCCCAACCTCCTCCCAAGGAGGCTACGTCGCTGCAGAGCTCCAAAACCCACAGTGGATTTGGAGTCTGACACATTCGGATCCTGGCTGTGTGACACCAGGCAAATTTCTTGACCTCTCTGAGCCTCAGTTTCTTCATCTTCAAAATGGGCAACAGGAACTAAAGCATTACACAACTGTAAGTCATTGTTCTTCCTTCTGAGACTCTGCAAATGAGGAGACTGCGAGCCAGAGAGCAGGAACTGGACCCCAAGTCTCCGACCCATCCCCCAACTGTTCAGTTCAAGCAGCCGCCACACGGAAGCTCCTTCCTCAAACCTCCCCAGGGGTAGTTTTTATAGCCGAATATCTTATGTGATGAAATATTTATCTAAAGTCCAGCAATATCTTCAACATTACTTGTGCTTCTCTTTCTTCTGTTAAATTGGAAAAAAAAAATTGGAATTAAATTTTTATGCCCAGACTACCACTGGAAGGTCACACAACGCAGCTGTGACCGCGGGAGCTGGGGAACCGGGAGATGCGGGTGCAAGGGGGAGGGAGGCTTGTCACCACCCGCCCTTTCGTGCCTTTTCAATTATGAAGCAAGTGGATTTATAGCCTATTCACAAAATAAAACATTTAAAAGCTGAAATCAATGAAACTAAAATCAAAGCACATTTCAGTCTTTCAGAAAAAGCTGTACGTTCAGGATGATCTAATTTATAGAGTACAATGTGTGTCTGTCTGTCCACCCAGCCATCACCCACATGTCCATCTGTGCAGACCGTGCTCACCAATCGTCTCCACATGTGACGGCTGGTCATTTCTGAGGGTTCTGACTTATTGTCATGTACTTCTGTTGAACTTTTCCTATGTCGTCCGAATTTTTGGTTTGAGCACGTGTCATGGAAACCACCAAGCCGCCCTATTTTAGCGATGTCAGAGCAACTCATCGCAATCTCTAATTGCATCATGTATGTTTTCATGTGTTCCATGTCCCATGACATTCGTGGAGAACGTCAGCTCCACAAGGGCCAGGATCTTTTGTTTGGTTCCTTGTTGTGATCCCAGCACAACATAGGTGCTCAATAAAATGTGCTGAGTGAGTGAATGAAAGGAAAGGCACTCCCAGACTAAAAAACATCGTATATGATAACACCAAGTAAAGTGCAATAAAATAAACAAAACCAAGTCCCGCTGGGGACCCCTGCCCTCGAACAGGAGCCGCTGCACTCACCAGACCCCATCTCGTCGCTGCCCAGGTAGGAGCTGTTACTTCTCACGCTGGTGTAGGACAGGACGGAGTCCCGATTGCTATTGCACTCGCTGCAAAGGGGCAGAGAGGAAGACAGGAGTCACCCTCCAGCTCACACTCTCTGGTCCCTGCACCCAGAACCCACTTTCTGAGTGTAGACAAAATCCCTAGCTCCTCAGAGGACAGCTGGTCCAGAAAGGGCGCAGCAGACCGCCCGTCAGTGCCAGAGACGGGGAAGGCTGCCCTGAGGGATTTTCTGATGGTGGAGAAACCCTTCTCGGCCCCAGCACAGAAATGCAGGAACAGTAAGAGGACAGTTTTTTTGCTTTTATTTGGGAGTAAACTTCCATCACTCCCCTCATGGGAGAAGCCTGGTTCCTGGACACGTGTGCACATGCCACCCTCGGCCACACGGTTCCGTGTTCGTCTCCCCCGCCTGGCTGGGAACCTCCGGAGGACAGGACCGTGCTCTCTTAGCTTGTGTCCCAGGAACTCAGAAGGTATGGAAATCAAAAAGCACAACCCTGAAATTCTTTCACCTTTTTGAAAATTAAAGGAAAAATCGGAAAACCCAAACATGTCAGACTGGAAACCCAGAGAGATGGTGGCACCTTGGCTGTGGACACGAGGCGCCGGGAGCATCTGCCTCTACAGAAACTCCGCCAGAAACACAGGCCAGTCAGACCCCCTCGAAGACTGACAGACATGAACACCGGGAGGCTGGGGCGCAGGTCATTCATATCAAATTCCAGCCGTTCTGTATTTTGCCCAAAACAACTGAAGCGCCCTCCAAGGTTCTACTCTCCCCACGCGATCCAATGTTACAGAACCGCTCCCTGGAGCCCACAGCGCTGTTTATTTGTGGTAAGGACGTCCACTCACCCACCACATGGTTTATTACAGGAAATTGAATTTTTAGTCCATTTAACCCACTAATTAGGACTTCACTGATCTTGTTATAATTAACTTAACCAGTAAAAAACAAAACAACAACAACTCAGACCTTCTCAGACAGAGTTAGGAGGGGAAAAACTGCCTTCCTCCTGGGATCAAGTAAAAATAAAGTACTTGTTGCAGAAACCATGTATGTTTTAAGACACACCACAGATCTCAACTTCTTCTCTGACCGCATTCCATCAGCGTGCGCAGAGCGGCCCCAGAGCAGAATGGACGGGTGGTGGCCACAAGGGGGCAGAGCCCACAAGGGGGTAGAGCTTGCAACGTTAGCGTTGGGAGCTTAGATAACCCCCAGAACCACATGACTTAGCAACAGTGCCCCATCCCACTGCTTCCTGGAAAATGTCCCTCTAATTCTGACTTTCCCACAGGTCAGTGGCCTCAACCGTCCCACTGGCCACCCATGTCAAACCCCAGATGACGCCCACTGCTGCCCCCACCTGTAGGAGTCACGGTAGCTCATGGTGTCATGACCTGAGTCCTCCTGATCCTCCTCAGACACCTTGAAACACACTTTCTTGATGCCCCCATGGTCGGTCCTGTCCATCTCGCTCTCTTCGTTGACCAGTGGGGAGGACGAGGTCTCCTCAGCCAAGGGTGGATGGCAGGACCCTCCCGAGGTGGGCTCCGTGATGGTGGACAGCAGCCTGTGGGAGCAAAGACTTTGAACTCAAAGGCACATGCTGGTGGTTTTAATGGCCTTCATGGGGGCTCCAGGCAAGGTCCTGATCTCGGGCCTCACCTCTGACCCTAACAGAGGAGCACTTATCCCGTCCCTCCTGTAGGGGCATGAGAAACAGCGGTTCTTTATTTCATGGCCAAGCTACACAAGGTTCAAGGGCATAGAACACGACTGGGAAGGTTGCTGCAGAAGTTCAGAGAGCACATCTTTTCGGCGTTGAGGGCCATATGATCTCAGTTACAACTACTCAACTTTGCCGCATTCATGCGAAAGTACCACAGACAACATGGGAATGAATGCGCATGGTTGTGTTCCAATGAGACTTTAAGACAACGAGGCAGTGGGCTGGATTTGGCCCTAGTTTGTCAGCCCGTGGCACAGAGTATCATTAATGGTCAAGTTCATAGGTTTTTAAAACAGACAGACCCCAGATTCAAATCTCGATGCTGCCACTTGCTAGCTTAGAGACCTACAGCAAATTATTTAACCTCTCTGAGACATACAGTGGAGTCATACCAGCATCTATGTCCCTGGCTGGTATGAAAATTAAGGGAGTTAAAATATGTACAGTGCTTAAACGAGTGTCTGGTACCTTGTATGTGAGCAATAAACCCTGGCTGATGAAATCCTATTACAACTCAATGAGGTCAGTATTATGATCAGCTCCATTTTACAGATGAGGAAATTGAGGCTCAGAGAAATCAAGAGACTTGTCTAAGGTCACACAGCTAATAAATAGCAGGGCCAGGATTCAAACCCAGATTCTACCTGGCTCAAAACCCCTACATTATTTTTCCTTTTATCACAGACAATTTTCATTATACAAGAAAGTAGAAGGAACAGTATGAAGAATGCCAGGCACGCATAGCTAGCTTCAACAATGGCAACTCAGGGTTCATTTTTGTTTCCTCAGTCTTTCCCGTTGCTCTTCCTTTTTCTGGAGTATTTAAAACCTAGCTAAGCTGTCATAAATTTCCCCTATAAACACTTCCCTGTGTGTGTCTAGCACATAAGGACTTTCTTTTAAAGCAATGGTTCTCAACTAAGGGTGATTCTGCACCTCCCAGAGGAAACACTGAGCAACTCAGCATACTTCCTGAGGGGCAGACACTTGTCCGTGTCCAGAGACATCTGTTAGTTGTCACAACTGGAGCGGGACAGGGGTGGGGGAAATACCGCATCCAGTGAGTAGAGGCCAGGGATGCCGCTACCTACCTTACACTGCACACCACACCGCAAAGATGGTGTCCTTAATGTCAAGGCTGAGAAACACTGTTTTGAACCTAACCAGACTGCCATTACCACACCTACCAAATCAGTAATTCCTTAACACCATCTAGTATCCAGTCCATGTTCAAATACCCCTGGTTGTCTGCAAAGGGTCTTTTCACAGATGGTGTGTTAGAAACAGAACCCTAGCCAGGTCCAGACACTGCATTTGGTTGGTATGTCTCTTCTCTAACAGATCCTCCTCCTCCTCCCTGGACCTGCTCCCCACCCCAACCCCCATCAGTTATTTCCATCTAGAATCACCCTCCCTCTGGATTTGGCCACTTGTGTCCCCCGGGTGCCAATGTCACCATCCTCTATCCCAGTGGTTCTCAACCTGGGGGGCGAACGACCCTTTCACAGGGGTCGCCTAAGACCATCGGAAAACATATATATAATTACACATTGTTTTTGTGATTCATCACTATGCTTTAATTATGTTCAATTTGTCACAATGAAAATACATCCTGCATATCAGATGTTTACATTACGATTCATAACAGTAGCAAAATTACAGTTATGAAGTAGCAATGAAAATAATTTTACGGTTGGGGGTCACCACAACATGAGGAACTGTATTAAAGGGTCGCGGCATTAGGAAGGTTGAGAACCACTGCTCTATCCTCCGCGTCCTACAGTTGAGTCGTGAGACCTAGCTCTTTGATTCGAGAACAGTGCCATTTCTGTTGGCGAGAACACTTTGTAGATGGTGCTGTGTGTGTGCCCCATTGCATTACACCAAAAGGGACACCATCTCTCTTTCTGTTAAAGTTCCAAAGTCCCCCAAACCTTTTCCCAAATAGTTTTAGCCTCTGCTAATGATTGCTGTCTACATCTATCATTTCATGAGAGCAGTGGCTCTCATGCAGGAGTGATTTTGCCCCTGTCCCCTGAGGGGGTATTTAGCAACATTTGTCATGGCTGGGGAAGAGAGGTGCTCCTGGCATCTAGGGGTGCTGATAAATTGCCTATGATGTACAGGACAGCCCCCGCTACAAAGAATCCTGACTCTAACACACACACACACACACACACACACACACACACTCACTCACTCAATTCCTTCTTGGGGTCAGGGCTCACCTGTTGATCTGGGTGACATACTGTTTCATCTCCTTCAGGGCCACATCCAGTTTGGTAAAGAGTTGCAGATAGGCGTCCTGGATCTCACGGTCCTCCTGCTTGAGGAGAAAGCTCAGACCCCGCTCCTCTGGGCCCAGGGCCCCATTGGCTGGCCCAAAGCTGCTGTCACGGGGACTTTGGCATTGAGGGTCCCCATCCACAACAGGCAGGCACTTCCAGGATGGGGCAGCCATGGTGGTGATGCAGTGCTGGGTGTAGGACATAGGGTTCAGGTGGCCTACACGGATAAAGAGAGAGTTCACTTGGAAACCGTGCCCAGACGCCCACAATCCCCTTGGCTAGAAGTATATAATCCATTTCTAGGATTCCCAATAAATATGATAATTTTCCCTTTTAAATATTATTTTAATCCCCCAGATTACTTCAAGACAAAAATTTTGGCTTAGTGTTAATATGCCTTTAACTACTGTGATCTTTTCCTGCCTGGAAAGCAGACATGATGATTGGTACTCCAGCAGCCATTCTATACCGTGAGGCATCCTTCAGGATGAAAGCCACCTCTACACCATAGAGATGATGGTGTAGGCAGAGAGGAGCCTAGATCCTGGATGACTGTGAAGCCATCATTCCAGCCCTGGAGCGCTGACCTCCAGACATGTTTCTGTTTGAGTGTCTGTGGTGTGAGATCCAAACACAATTTCTAACACACATGCAGTTACCTTGCTCTGGGTCAAGGCCAATGAGGGAGGGTTTGCGACCAAAGCGAATGCTGAAGGACCTGCCAATGGAGGGAGTGGTCTTGGGGTAGGACACTTCCATGATGTTGATGTGGCAGTTGGTGGGGCAGAAGTCCAGGCCACACGGAGAACGGGGTTCCTGGGGTGCTTGCTTGAAGGGTGGGCTGATCCTGCCCTTCAGCTGGGCTGCAAACTGACAGAGGCGGGGACATGAGGCCATGCTCCAGGACTCCGGGAATTCCGGTGTCCCCCCAGTTCCCACTTTATCCTGGTCTAGGCCAGACATTCCAAATTGGACAAAATGAATAGCCCCAATGGACAGGTGGATTCCCCTGCACTGCCTTCCACTGGATCCAGATTTCAGGGAAAGTCTGGAGAAATCTGAGTCCTCTGAGTACCTACCCACCTTCATGTCTCCATTTTAGCTGCACACGTGAGCTAAAACCATCTCTCCCCAACGCATAGTCCATGAGATTCAGGTAAGGCTGCCTCCCCATGCTTGCAGTTACTGGTACAGAGCTAGGCACGAGACCCAAGCCAAGCCAACAGAAGCTCTCGATTCCTTTTCTACGGGGGTTCCTAAGGGTACAGCTACTGGGGGCCATTTTGTCACCACATGAGAAAGGCCTGCCCGACAGCGGAGCCAACATGGGAAAATAAAGTCAAGAGAAGGAGAGAGGCCATGCTCGTACGATAGTCTGAGCACCTGGATACGACCATGCCTGAAGTTCACCTCTGGACTTTCCAGTAATAAAAGCCAATAAAGTCTCCTATTTGTCTAAGCTAAGTTGTGGTGGGTTTTGACATTTATAACCAAAATGCCCCAGGTTGAGGGAAAAGGTACCTCCTGATAGCAGGCAATCCTCTGGCCAATGCTCTCCAGCTTGATGTCGCAGATGTGACGGAACTCGAAATGGGACATGGTCCTGATGCTGTTGCTCAGGGCCATGAGCCGCCCACAGTTCTGCACAAAGACGCTGTCATCGGCAGCAAAGGCCTCGAGGATCTGCAGAAACATCAACTCCTGAGCACACGCTCTGCACCAAGGAGGGTCTTAAGCAGTTTATCTACAGAGATTCCTGTGTGCCTCATAAGACCCCCATGAGGTCAGGTCTATTACTGGCCCATTTTGCAGATGCGTGACCTGAGGCTAAAGAGATAAGCCATTCTTCTAAATCCCATGTCGTGGGCAGAGACTAGAATTCAGGGCTCCAGGCTAACTCAGAGGAAACGGGAATCAGGCTGCTCCACCCCCAGGGCAGTGCCACACAAGACCTTGGCAGTGAGGCCGAAGCAGCCACGGGGCTCCACGATCTTTTCCAGCACGTGACACTTGATGCCCGCTGTGCTCACGTACTCATACACCACGCCATGCTCCAGGTGCACATTGTCCACATTCAGGCTAACCACAGGGCTGTCCTCATGCAGGCTCAGCTGGGCACCCATGGACAGCAGAGGGAAGGCTGAAAGCCAAAAGGACAATCAACTCTGAAGAGGGGGCTCCACTCCACAGCCAGCCAGCCCGCTGGTGCTGCACCACAGACAGCTCCCGCCAGGCAGATGGGGAACTGAAGCCTGTGCTGCAGCTCTGTTGGATTTTGCCAGCCTACTATTATTCACACCTTGTCCTACATTGTCCCTCTAGAAATCTACCCATGTGCCCTATCCCAGTCTATGTGGCTTAGAAGAGGCCCCCCTACACCTGCATCATTCATCAAAGGCACAAGCTGAAGATTTCCTCTATTCACAGTGACTGGCTCAGGAATGAGCACGTGACCCAAGCTGGGCCAATGAGAGTCAAGTCTGGGACTTTTGCTGGATCTACAAAGAGCTGGAGACATTCTCTTTTCAACTGGATTCCAAGCTGCCAGGACCATCGCATGGATAAAACAGCAGGTAAAAGGAAAACCAACACAGAGGGAGCAGAGGTGAAAACTAGAGAGAAAGAGACTCCTTAGGAGACTACTGAAAGCACTGGATTGAGCAAGATCTGAAGCTTACATGACCCTACTCAGACTTTTCAGTTTCCTGAGTTACTGTTGTTATGTAGCCCAGATACAGTCCCAATCAACATGGGCCCAGAGAGGCTACATGACAAGGTATGTCACAGCTAGGGAGTGACATACCTAGAAAACAAAGAAGGCACTACATGATATACAGTTAACTAATACATGCAGTAAAGAAAAAGAATAGGATAGGATAGGATAGGATAGGATAGAATAAGGAGACTCTGGGACAGAAGGGCGCTCTGAGGAGGTAACATCTGAGAAGAGAGGTGAATGAGACAAGAAGTACTCAGAAAGAGCACATTCAGGCAGAGGGAACTGCAAGTGCAAAGGTCCTGGGGTAGGAGTACATTTGGTGCTGGAATGGATGAAGCAGAGAGGGAAAACAGGAAAGTGATGAGAGGTGAGGTTGAAGACCATGGTGAGGACTTGATCTTTGTCCTGAGTTAGGATGGGAGTCACTGGAATGTTTTATTCTGGTTTTTTTTAGAACAGCCCATAGGAGGAGAGGTGAGGCAGGACAGGGAGGATAATGAACAGCTATTGCAATCGTCCTGGTGAGAAAGACGGTGGCTTGGACCAGGCAGCAATGGAGGTGGTGGGAAGTGGTATAACTCTGGGTGCATGAGGAAGACAGAGGCAACAAAGTGTGCTTCTGGAATTAAGGTGGAGGGAGTCAGAAGAAAGGGAACAGTTGAGGGGATTCCAAGATCTAGGACCTAAGAATCTGAAAGATGAAGATGGGACGCTCAGGGGAAGTTCAGGAGTTTCCATTTTGGCCATGTGGAGTCTGTGATGCCTGTTAGATACTGGATGGGTGGTGGGGGAGGTAGAAAGACGGGTCTGGAGTTCAGGGCTGAGGCTGCACTGGAGAGATAAATGTGGGAGGTCGTAGTAGGCAGAATAATGGCCCCAGAATTCATCCCTGGACTATATGCTCTCACATGGCAAGGGGAAATGACGGTTGCAGATGGAACTAAGGTTCTAAGCAGATAGCTTTACAATGAGATGAACCTGGATGAGTCAGGTAGACCAGTGTAATCACAAGGCTCTTAAATGGGGAAGATGGAAGAGGAAGAGGCAGAGTTAGAGAGGTGGCAAGGAGAGAAGGGCTCGGGCCAACATTGCTGGCTCCGCATATGAAAGAAGGGGGCCGTGACCCAAGGAACATAGGCAGCTTCTAGAAGCTGAAACGGGCAAGTAAATTAGTTCTCCTCTAGAGATGCAAAGAGAATGCAACCCTGCTGACACCTCGGTTCTAGCCCCGTGAGCCTCATCTCAGACTCCGACCTCCGGGCCTGTAAGAGAGTAAATGTGTGCTGTTCTAAGCCACCAGGTCTGCGGTGCTTGTCAGAGCAGCAGTCAGAAACGAATACAGAACTGATGGTGTCAAGATGGGATCACAATTCCCTCTTCTAGGAATATATCCCAAGAAACCAGAAACACCAATCAGAAAGGATATATGCACCCCTCTGTTCATAGCAGCACAATTCACCATAGCTAAGATCTGGAAACAGCCTAAGTGCCCATCAGTAGATGAATGGATTAGAAAACAGTGGTACATCTCAACGATAGATGGGAACACAAGGGAGGGTAGACACAGAAGAGGACCCAGCTCCCCGCTGGAGTCTCTAGCTCACTGCCCACCTGTCCTGTTACCTGAGTCGGGCTGGTCTTCCTCCCGGGCCCCCTCACCACCTGGGTCTTCGCCAGGGGTCTCCTGGCTGGCTCGGGCCTCCTGAGCATCCTCATGGGTGTGGTAGATCCACTGGTACAGGCCCTGTGAGGGGAGCAGAGCAAGAGGGGCAGCCATGGTGCTGGGAGCCCAGGGAGGAAGGGACGGCAAAGGTGCAAACGGTTCCCCAACTCCAGGGCTCAGGTGTTTAGCCTGCGGTGACACCTCCTTTGGAGAGGCCCCCAAGGCTTCGCTCTGGAACCTCCCCGAGGAACCTCCAGTCACCCTTAGCCCTCACCCTCTATAGTCTATACGCCACACAGGTGCCAGGGGAGGGGGGAGCCTTTAAAAATGGAAGTCGGATCCATGGGTGCAGAAAACGTGTCTCTCCTGTGGCCCCAGGGCCTAGAAAAGTGTCAGGCACACAGCAGGTGCTCAATAAACACTTACTAGATAATCCAATAAATAATACCACCTTCCACTGAACCCCAGCCCCTGACCCAAGTACAACATCAATTTTCACCATCCACATAACCATTTGCCCAACGTGCCTATGTAGTAAGAAAAGAGGGTCTTATCACACCCATTCACACCTGGAAAACCGAGGGCATGAGGTATTACAGCCCAGCTCCTCCAATCCAGGGAGGCAGAGGGGGCAGAGGGTCGAAGCCCAGCTCGGTCCCACCAGCCCTCCCTGACCCCAAACACCATGATGCCTTCAGACTTTCTTCCAGAGAAAGGTGGCCCTCAGCCCCACCCCCTCACTGAGCAGGACTCCGCTGATCCCCTTGGCTGCTGGGTGGCTTACCAGGGCCTCTTCTCGGCGGTTTCGGAATGCCTGGAAGTGCTCCAGGACTTCAGGGGCACCGTCGTTCATCACGTTGTTGCCATTGACCTTCAAGATACACTGGCCAGCACAGAGCCCTGCGGCCGCGGCCTCTGACCCTAAGGGAGACGGGAATGCTTGAGGCTGAATGCCAGGCGGAGGGCCTGAGCAGTGCAGGCAAGGGCAAGAATCCAGATGAACACTGTCCTCCACCCACCCCCAAACACTCCACCTCCATCCCTCCCACCCAGGAGCCACTCTCTGACCCACTCCAGTAGGCAGGGCAGGGACCGGCATGCCCATTTTGCAGAAGTAGAAGTTAGGGCTCAGAGAAACAGCAACTAGTTTCACTCTAAAACTTCATCTCCTTTAAAATCCTGCAACAACCTGTGATACTGGTACCAGGATCAGCCCATTTTGTAGACAGGAATACAGAGGCTCAAAGAGGCAAAGTAATTCTCTCAAGGTCACTTTGCTAGGAGAAGCCCGGGTCAAACCCAGGTCTATAGGACCCCAAATGCATGTTTTCTCAGCTGTACCACAATTCCCAAACTATAGGCCATGGACCCCAGGGTTCTGTGTGGTTAATATGAAGGGTCTCTAAATGCAGATGAAATGCCAAGCTTTGTCTGTACATGAAATAATATCAGGCCCATTCGGTGTGATGGTTGACGAGCACAGGCCTGGACCCCAGGGGCCTGGGTTCAAACCCTGGCTCTGCCACTAACCAACCGTGTGACTTTCGGTAAGTTTCTGCCTGGCCATGAGCTTGAGCTGAGGAATAGGTCTCTTGTTGAGTAAATGGGTATTTCTCACCTTGCCATAGTCCTCACCACTCCCTGTTGTCTTTCTCTCAGTTACTCATTTGTAACTGCCTGACCCCCATAGGTGTTTGCATTTGCAAGCCTTGGCCTCAAGCAAAGAAAGTAAGTGCTAATGCTGCACTATGAGCACAGGCCTGGTGGTAATGGTTTGGGCGGCTCTGAGCTCCTATCTCACACACAGATGGGTCTCCCGAGCTCCCCTCTGTCTGTTAGGCTCCCACTCACCTCTCCCGACAGCATAGACATAGGGCGGGGCAGCTCCCCGGATCTGGAAGCACAAAGCCTCCGGATGGTCAGGGACTTTGACGATCCTGCAGCAGGAGAAGCAGCCATAAGGAAAAGCAGCATCACTCCCAACGGCCCAGCAGGACACCCCGAGGAGCCCCTGCCTCCAGGAATTTTGGGAAACCCAGCCCCAAATCATAGCAATGCCAGGCTTTCCAGCTCCCAGATATACAGAGAAACCTCGCTGAGCCTAACCAACGCCCCCACCACCAGGGTCTCCAGTTCATCTGAAGCATGGCCTGCCCTTGGAGCTGCAGTCCACACACAGAAATCTCGGGTCCCCCTCTCCCTTTTCCATCCCTCCTCGTGGGAGGAGGCCTCTTGGCGGCCAGAACAACACCTCTGCCGGTGAAGTTTTATTCAACAACCATGGATGGAAGAGTGAGAAGTGATCCCCACATCTTGGTGCTGACTCTAGAAAAAAGCCCACATGTGTCCTCTGGAGAACACGGTTTGAAAGCCCCGGTCTGGGCCATTCTGCAGGTGGGACACCAGAGCCGAGCAGGTGGCCCCTGCTCAGGACTGTGCAGGGGGCATCATTAACCCAGGGGCCTCGATGCAGCTGCCTGCTTCCCCAAGCGCATGTCCCCCACCATGGCCTTCAGGATCGCCTCTCCCGTCCCCACCAGCCAGAGAAAGCCAGGCTCTTGGGAGCCTGTTCTCAAACCCCAGGTGTTGCCAGACTTAAGACAGGCTCATTCCACGTGGGTGATTTCTGCCACTTCCACATTCCAGCCAACCAATCAATCATTTTCCCTAAATTGACTTGCCTTTCTACTGAAATAATCATATTAAAACTTTCCATCCCGCCTGTCAACAGAAAACTGGGAAGCATTTGCCTTAAATAGAAGGGAGAAGTGGAAACCAAATGCACAATTTTTAAAATAGAAAACGCTTCTCCCTGTACCTATATCTGGTATCCAACCACTTCTCACCACACCCCTGCTGCCATTCAGGCTGGGCCAGCAGCCTCCTCGCCGCTCCCCTGCTTCCACCTCTGCCCCCCACCGTCTGGTCTGCACCTGCAGCCAGAGGGACTCTGCCAGAACCTACATCAGGTCGTGCCTCGCCAGTGGCTCCACGGTCATTACTGTGGACACAAGGTCCTACAGGGCCTGGCCCCATTGTCTGGCCAACCTCATCACCCACCCCTCCCTCTCACACGCTCTGCTCCGGCACATCAGCTTCCTCGCTATTCCTCAAACACACCAGCCAGGTTCCTCCCCGCGCCTTTCATCGGCTGTTTTCTCTGCCTGGAGCCCTCTTCCCCCTCAAGTCCCCTGATTCCCTCCTCACCTCCTTCAGGCCTGCACCTCCGTGCTCAGTGGCACCCCGGCCACCATCCCTCCACACCGCCCATCTTCTTTCCCAGCGTTAGGTATCAGCCCACACTTGCTACCAGCTGGTCCCGTATGCCTCTTACTTCTCCACTGTTTGTGTCCGTCTGTCTCCTGCTCTACCCTCCAACCAGACTGAGGTCATGAGGGGGAGAAATGTACCCATCCAGACGTGGCTGGATCCCCAGAGCCTGAAGCACCGCTAGACACAGCGGGCGCACGATCAACACCTGCTGACCGACTGAAGGCAGCAGCCTCGTGTCATGTACCTGCAGAATGAGCCCCACCCACGGGGATCCAGGAAGGCTCGGCCCCCACCATCCCCAGCACTCAGGCAACTCCTCGACCTGAGAGGAAGGTCGCTGGACACCTGGCCCCTGGGGACACTCACTCTTTGGCCTTGGTGGCCACCAGGAGGCGCACGGGGCGGCGGGAGCAGAAAGACTGGTTGAGGATGGACTCCACCTCTGCGAATGGCCGCAGGAACACCAGGTCCTCGTTGATGGAATAGATCTTCCTCCCCACCTGCAGGCCAGCCATCTTGGCGGGGAGACAAGCACACCAGGTTGCTAGTCTCCTGTCCTCCTCACAGCCCCAGCCCCAGGGACTAAGCATGACCAGAGTGACCCCCAGGGCAACCAGCCCCCCTGTGTGGTAAGCAGTCCCTCCCCTCTGCAGGCTGGTGAGACTGGTTCTGGCCACGGAGCTCTGAAGGGAAGCTGGCTGGAGGCACTAACAGAAAAGACGTTTTCCCTCGAGGAGAAGCTGCTGTGGCCTGCCCCTGCTTCCCACCCTGCCATGTGAGGACAGGAGGCATAGAACTGGGGCAGCCCCCTTGTGACCAGGAGGGCTTGGCCAGCCAAGTCAAAGAGAGGTTGACCCTGAACCAAGACTCACAACCACCTCCTCCTTCTTCTAACCGCTTAGATCATTAGAAAAGCAAAGTCCTATGGCTCCAGCCACTGTGGGGCGAGCAGGTGGCTACACAGTGATTCCTAATCACTACACGGACACAAGCAGGCACCTGGACATGACAGGTGCCTCTCCCCACCCAGCCGCACACCCCAGGGGGCAGCGGAGAGGACCTGGGGCTGCAGCCTTGGCCTGCCACAGACTTGCTCTCCTTCCTCCTGCAGACCTTGTGTCCATGACAGCAAGAAACTTGTCTTATTCAGGCCACGGAGGGTTAGTTTTTCCCTTATCACAGCTGATTCAGAACCTCTTCCTTGCACCTCCCCACCAGGCCAGCAGAGGGAGCCAGTCGCACACACACTGAGAGGACAGCCCTGAGCAGAGGGGCTGTCCGGGCTTCAGGAGAAGGTCCACAAGATGGCCCTGAACTCAGTTTCCCTAC